GGAATCTACAATTCTGGTATGAAATTCTTGAGTTTGTGGAAGCATCTTTGCAAAGAGTCCATTAGGCGGGGGGGGATTCGTTGATGGTAAAATAGACCCTAGCTCAATCAATTCCAGTTCACTCCATGGGCTACCACAAGTCGATGATAGAGATTTAAATCTCTATCATCGACTCTGTCATTTGGAAGAGTGTTTCTGTTTGTTGCGTCGGCGTGCCACGTAGTTTCGCGGAAAGCTTCGAGAGGATCTCCAAGCATGAATGGCTACTTCGGCCAAAAGCACATGCTTCTTGACCCGATTTGTCCGACTGCTTTAATTAATACCCCAGGCGTCAAAAGGCCATATAACTAACAAGTACAGTCGCTCCTATGAATTCTTTGATGTCCCATGGACCAATCCAACGTGTCCTACCATTGGCAAACAAGGCTCTTTATCATGTCCTGAAGAATGTACAGAAGCATAGCTGCTTGGCAAGTGAATAAACGGCCAGCATCCACTATAATGTGCATGTTGTGCGCAGCTCTCACTTGTGCATCGTTTGAGTTGGTTGCGCAACAATCAGGATCTAACCCTAGAATGCACCATTGTTTTGTGGATGAAGACGCGATGGCTTGGCTGAAGGGTTTCTCGCCTGATTTGTTGAAACTACACAGTTGTTTATTTCTAGTCTGCATTCTGGGTTGACCACCTGCACATGTTCGCTTGAGGGAGCTTCATGCGCGGGCATCCAAGCCGGAGATGTCGGTGGATTATGAATTTGGGGAGGCTGAGGCAAATGACTTGAGCGAAATCAAATTCGAAGGGCAATGTCCAGATCAGTGTTGTCCCCGCAGGCTTCTCAGTACAAGATTGAAAATGCAATTGTTGCTCGGCTGAAGAGCTCTAACCCTCTCTAACCTATGCATGGGTTTGGGCTTGAAGAGATTGAAGCCATCGCACCTAAGGCTCAATGAGAGTGCACGCAAAAGGTTGGTGGCTGCATGTGTCCTTTAGATGTATCCGCTGCATTGCAAGTCGAAAAGAGATGAAAAGGGAGCAAAGCGTGAAATCGAAGCCGGGTGCGTGAACCTCAACCTCGACTATTTAAACAACCGCCTCGACTATTTAAACAATATGCTTTACCCAAGGACTATTCTTTATATAGCCTTTTGACGCCTAGGGTTAATGCATAGGTACGGTTACTTGATCCTATGATCAACAGTAGAGACTACCTCACTGGATCGCCTCCCGTTCCTCGCGTTCGACTCCAGCGGAAGCGCGTCAGGGAGTCTCAAGAAACCGACCTACAGCTCGGGTGCAGAAGGCGGGGGGAGCGGTTCAGTCGGTGTGTTTTTCCTCTGCAAAGGTCGGGTGAGGTATGTTCCTGAATGAAAAGGACGATCCCAAAGCTACTTGGGGATGAGCTGGAGCTCTGGCCACCGACCCCATGTGCGCCGGGGACGTGCGCGGTTAGTATGCTGGTGCCAGCTTTTTACAGATCACCTTTGGGATCGACCTTGGGGCCCTCGTCGGGAGAAGACGATAGCCTCTGACGAGCGTTAACCAGGAACTGGTTTTCACCACCTGTTTGTAGAGGAAAATGGTTGTTGTTTTTGCTGAAACGCGAAGATCTCTTTGTAGGCAAGTCGTTTTCTTTTGGGAATCTGCACTGCTTCTGTTGACCTCATTGTTGTTTTTAATCTATGACGGCTCCAGATTGTAAGCTACACAAGAGCACCCTCATAAACCTGGGGCTCCAACCACATCCTCAGGTTGGGTGCCAGTGGGGTTTGTCCCTTTGAGGATGTGGTGGTTGGAGAGTTTTTTTTGGGGGGTCATTTCCATGTGAGGATGGGATGTGGATTGCAAGGAGGTTTCCATTTTCATGCCTCACAACCGTGCGGAGTTCGAACGGGTGGGGCTCTTCGAACCCTCCACTCGGCTCACGCGCCGCGATTCTCGCGATTCTCGCGCGTCTCTTCTCCACGTGCTTCCACTCGCGTCACTCGGGTGCTGCTTCGACTCCGGTTTGGTCAGGGCATGGGACACGAGAATGTCACCCTTGTGCATTCTACTGGAAGGCCGGGGCCAGCCTTGGGGAGAGAGCTGGAGGGATGGTGATGACGATGATCGGTGTGTTTCAAGCAAAGCACCTGGTGCCAGTTGTGGTATCCAATCGGATCCAATGGTTCATGAAAGCCACCAGATGGGTTTTTGGAGCCAACATCTACCAGTTAAACATATATAGTTAGACCAAAACTGTGCTACTGGATTGCATCCATCAAACCAATGGTACCCATATGTACCCATGGTTTTTCGAATTTGAAGGAGCCCGTCCCGGAGCTCGTGTATGGGTTCTTTCTCTCTTCGCATTTGTTTGCCACGACTCCATGGTGACAAGTATAACATGTTTCCCAGACACTCCGTGTATGCCATATATATGCCTACATTGGCCCCCAAAACCACCGGCCGTTTCTCCGCCTCCTCCGCAGTCCGGACTGGCAGTCCCAGACGGGTCATGTCCACACGTTTCAGGTCCCAAAAGCATGAGGACGCCTCGCACGGATCGGTCGGGTGTTACCAATCCCATGAAGATGAGCAGGTCGGAGACACGTGGGAGTTCACCTGCTTCGGACAGGGCTCGGATGTCCGGGTTTAGCATGCCATGCACGTGAGCATGAGGAGGTTCTAGTTAAGTCCAGTCAAAGTGGGTGACTGATCTTAAGGACCAATTTGACTCATTTGACCCATTCCTGTCTCGGCCATTGGCTAGGCATCATAATATATATATGAGTGACGCGTGACTTGGCCACCAGCTCGACTCGAACCAGCTTGACTCCCCAGGAGAAGGGTTGCAGCAGCGGTGCCGAGTGCAACTTTTGCCATCTCTGCGACCCAGGCGACACGGGCAGTGGTCCGAATTGATGCGGGTCCTACCTCCGGTCGAACGAAGGTGAAAGAACTTCCAGAGAATGGTCGAACTAACTGGGTCCTTGAAAAAGGATCGTCGATTCGGGTTTTGGACCCCTTAGAAATGGATCTGGAAATAGACTATATACACTGAAGGACACCCCAACGGTAACTCCCTAGGGCTCCTCTCCCCTCTCCACAGCATCAATGGTATTCGATCCTAACAAATCCACCCGAATACCACCGAACCGAAACGGAGGTGGCAGCCAGGAGCCCTAAGGGTTCTGCATTTGCAGGGCCCCTCTTTCATACCAGCGCTTGCAGAATCCTTCCCCCCTATGGCACGTAGCTATGTAGGTTTTTGTTCCCCCATGATTGATCCTCTATGAAATGAGTATTTGTTTCCACTATGAAATGGTCTGGGCACAGGTCGTTTTATAAAAAACATTAGTTTGGAAATTGGAACATAGATCTACACAACATCATTTCATAGAAAGATCAACTGGGGAAATTTGCTGCCAAGACCGTGCCAAAGTGAGACAACTCAGTTCATAAATACATTAAAAAACTGTTGGTTCCCGATGATTGTCTATGATTCTACAGCAAAACCACTTTATAGAACACCTAGCGTTTTGTGTTAAATGTTTGCGCATATGGTGTCAGTGTTCTGAGGCCAACTCATTATTTTAAATACAATCTGCTGGAGGTGATATTATGGTATCGATTCAAGGCAAAGCATTTTATAGATCCAAGCTGTGATCTGTAGCCTTTTGGTTTTGAGAGGCCTGGATATGGCTATGCATTTTATAGAAAGGATGGCTATTCATTTTATAGAGAGTAATGATGCCCAAAGTATTTCATAGCCGTTTTTTCTATAAAAGGAAAAGCTGCCAGGACTTACCATCAGACAAGGGGGATGGTTTTTGTAGGGTCCCTATGACCGCCAATGTTTCTACACAAATGTCATACCAGGGCCCCCTTGGTTGGCGTCTCTATGACAGTCGCCCCGAACAGAGGTGAATCGGGGTGCACCACCCCAACTGTGGGTCCTAGTAGATAAACACTGTGTGGTTCTTCTTTTTGACCCAATTTCTGGTGTGAACTAGACCGACTCTCAACACTGACCCCACTGGATGTTTGTTCCGTGTCGACATCTGTTCGATTGGATGGAACATCAGATGCTACTCCACATGTTTCGCCATGCACGGATGTCGACACGGCGCACGGCTCGAAGTTCCCAACGTCGATGGGACACACCCAGCCGTGCTGTCCGTGTTTCGCCGTCGCCCCATGGCCGCATTGCCCAACGACCTTCGCTGTCGGGGAGGTGAGAAGAAGCGCCGGCAGAAAGAGAAGCGAATGGCCACTGGGGAAAGGGGAAGGGAAAGGTGGGGGGGAGACCAGGGAGAAAGGTGAGGGACAGCAGCATAGCTACTTGAAACAAACTGGAATACCAGGCTCCTAGGAGCTGTCAAATGGGCTGCAGATGGCTGCAGGACATGCAAGATGTGGGACGCAATGCCAAAGTTGAGGGGTTGCACAGTCGAAAGGACCATTGCCACCGCAGATGTCCTTGCTAGCGTTTCCAGCTGGTCGCTCTTGGTTGGCCATTCCTATTTGGGACCGGAGGCCGTCGCTGTAGTCCTTTGTCCTCCTAGCACTTCGGCGCCCCGCCGCGCCCCGCCGCGCCCCGCCGGCCCCGCCCCAACAGCCGGTCCGCCGCACATCTCTTTTCTTTGCGGTTGAGGCTGTTGAGGCTGATCCACACCGTTTTTTCACCAAGAGGCCAGAGGGCTGTGGTAGTCATACCTTCATCCTTCAACATATTATTTACATCAATGACCCCACATGGCACCTGAGTATTTGTTGAGCTTCATTCACGAGGCTTCTATACCAAGAGTGGTTCTGGTTGTGATCAGGGGCTCAACGTCACGTGGGGCGGGGGAATCTTCACCGCAACGGACGCACCGCAACGGACGCACCTCGCCTCCGCCCAGCACCGCCCGGGTCCGGCCCGAGGTTTGGCGTAGCATTGATCGCATGCGGCAAGCCTTCACCGGTGCGATGGAGCCGAGGCCGACGTCGCCGGGGTTTTTGTGGCCGTCAGTGGTGGCGTGGCGCGCCGCGCCGGTGTAGGTGAGTGCGGAGTTGGGTTCTAAAAGGGAAACGGTTCTTAGTGTAAATCAGTGGTTGGAATCAGGGAGGAGCAGTCCGGAGATGACGGAGCCTCAGACCTCTTTTTGAAAGCAAATCACTCCGTTTGATTTAGATATACCCAATCACTCCGTTTGAAGACGGCTCAATCTAGCTTGATGTACATGGAGAAGTTGGGAGACATGTGTTAGATCCTGCTTACTTGTACCAAGGATCACTCTTCGATCCATTGCCCAACAAACCTCCCCTCCCGGTTCTGAACCGCACGGATCCCGCCAGGGTCGACTGAACCGGCGCGCCGTCCGGGGCCCCAAGTGGTGGGCCCCGGATGGAAGGAGCAGGGCCACTTTGGGCGAGTGCTACTACCAGGAGTTGCAAAGGGGGCTTATATATTAATTGGAGGTTAGGGGTGTCACATCTACTCACTGGATGGGACTAAACACCACCCCTTTGTGACTCCTGGTATGTGCTATACTTATTACTTCTATAGCAGTGTGAAACACCAAGTACTTCTATACCAAGTGTGAAACAATTGGAGATTGGTAGAAAATGAACAAAATTACAGCGCATGTGTTGGTTCCGTATGGCCTTGACATGATGCGCGGAGGCCATTCCAATATTTTTGACTGAACAAGGCGTGGTTTCTTCTGTAGTTTTTGAGGTAGGAAACGAAACAACGACGCCGGATTTCTAGATTTCACCTTGGTGGCATGGAAGCACAGGAAGCAAAAAACATGTTCGTACATGTCTAGTGCTTCCAATGGGTGTCCGGTAGCATAGCCCATTGGTGACCCCAATCGGAAGCAATTTTTTCTGTGGGTATTTTGTGTGTTTGCGAGCTGTTCTGTGACCCTAGGGATCCACATACCTTCTTAGAAGGTACTTGGGCCCTCCAAGCTTACATAGATAGTTTCCAATCACCATACCTGAGGAGGTACGACTGGATCCCTATGGGTGATAGATGCCTGGTCGAAGACGTGTTTTTCCTTTTTTTAGGCTCAGCAGCGGCCACCAGAGTGGCCACCAGAGTGGAGGCTTGGATACCTACCGCACAGAGAACTAACCTCCCAGAACACTCAGGATCACCTGAAGAGACATCAGTGACTGCATTGATAGTGTTGAAAGAACTCATCGTCAACCGAAGGACTGATGACAGCGGGTATTTCGAGCCATTTCAATCAATCCAGTGAGGGAGTGAGGGCATTGAACATCCTGCAACCTACAATACCCGACCCAACAGAGTAGATATCGACTGCACGCCGCGGGTGTCTTTCTCCTTGGTTACAACAAAAAGCACAGATCTTGGAGGTAAAACGGTGACAGTTGCATGACAGTCATGACAGTTGCATATCAACCCCCCCAGCTTGTGTATTTTAAACACCAAACTCGCCTGTGAGCCCCCACTGCTCGCACCGACCTACTAGCAAGACCGTTTGCAACACGCGGTTTCACCTCAGGCGGAAAGCCCCCCAGATTCGGGAGCCTGGACGAGCCGCTCTCCGCCAATCGCTAGCAGCTCCGTGTTGTGCGCGCGCAAAAGTCGCGCGGCAGACCGGTGGCGGGACGTTCCCGAGGCGCGGTGGACCGGGGGCGGGGGTCCTGACGTGGGCGGCTATTGATTGTAAGCAAATGGGGACGTGAAAGATGCGGGGTGATGACAAGGTTTCAGCATTGGTGTCATGGCAGGCTTAGTATGTCATCGAAGTTGGGTGAAAGGTGGAAGATACAAAAAAAACATTGGCTGTACTTGGCATATCTTGGCATGTTCCATTTATGATGATACTATAGAACTCAATCATAGGAAGGACAACCACTCAACCGCTCTGGCGGGTGGGTGGGGAGGCTGGGCTGCTCAATCGCAGGACTGGTTTTGGGGCGTAAAATGAAAAGAACATAATTTAATAGATCATATCATCGATCTATTATATTTGATTCATATCCTTTTTGGTTGACCTTCATGTTTTTCTGGTTTCGGAACCGTGGACGTCACGGGGCCGAGATCATGGTGTGGTTTCGGCACGGACCGTGTCGGAGGAGATGGACCAATGGACCCGACCGATTTCGGCTTTGAGCCGGGCGAATGCCCTGGTGCCGCCGAAGCCTGGTTCCTGTTCTTTCATGTACGTTGTTTCTGCATGAGTCTTCATGGCGTGAGGCTTCAGGTTCCTAGCAGGATTGCGCCCGGCTTGGGAGGAGGGGCGGCTCTTGGTTGTAAAACACTTCTCCACGAGGCCAAGCATTGCGAGGAAGATCCCAGCCATCCGACGTCCACCGACGTGGCTTCCCGGCCGTGGCTTGCGGTGGGTGAATCGTATTTGGGCGGTGGGTGGTTCGCATCCTGCCGGACTGTGGGACCCCTAAAAGAAACAGGGCCCACTGGTCGGATGCTCCAGTTCGAAGGGCGACAGACGACACAGATTCCACAGGTTCCTGAGAGGGCGGAGGCTGCCACAGGGTGTCTCTGTGTCTGGTGTACAGAATCAGTGTGTTTCTGTGGTTATGTTGTGCTGGGAAGGAACACCCATGATGCCTGCAGCTGAGGAAGGATTGCTCTAAGCTGTTGCTGTCGCGGTCGATGTTTTTGCTTGCTTTTGGTTGGTTGGCCGAAAGCATTGCCGATCAACTGCCCTCCAAGTGCGAAGGACAAGCTGTTGATCCAACCGCGTCGACCCTGCCCACAAAATCCATCCGCCATGCCACAGCCGTCGAGCTTTGCACGCAAAGGCTGGTGGAAAGGGTGCCAAACTGCAGTTTCGATACACACTGAAAGAGGTGTCGCAACGGGCCAGAACTGTCGCCCCAGGAGCCTTGCTTGCGTGACAGTGCGTGCTACTTGTCAGGAGTGCTGGTAAAGGCTACACAGCGAAGCGTAGCAAGGACTGAGCCACTGCAATCTTCAGTCTCCCAAGCGCCACCCCGCCTAGGCATAAGCTAGAGTGAAGAAGGGGCAGCAAGGGGATGGGAAAGCTGGGGCCCGTTCTTTCTATTATAGTTTTGTATGGGGGAGTTCACATTTGTTCGCTTTTGGTTGGGACTGTTTGGGGTTCTACGAGTGGGTGGAACGGAACAACAAAAATCTTCACAAAAGCTAGCATCAGCTAGCTGGAGCTGCTCTTTAGCCGTTTTTGTTGGCTGGCGGCCGGAATTGACTACCCAATGAGTTTTCCGCTGCTAGCAGGGGCCCCGTGGTCCCCCCTTGCTTTGGTAAAGGAACATGGTTATCCAAAGCCTCCTGCGGACTGTGCTGATTGGGGGAAGGATGGGGAAGGCACATCAGTTTTAATTTGATCTTCCATTCACCAAGATAAAGTGCATCGACAAGGCTGAGTGGTTGAAATTGAGAGTCCAACCTTTTCTGATTGGGTCTGATCCTGCGCGGTTTGACATGCAGGAAGATTGTGGGTGTTTGAGGCTCATGTGCTGAAACCCCAGTCATGAGAACCCAATGGGTTCAAAACATGTGCCAGAAAAAACCTTTGGGGGAGTTGAGAAGAAGATTGACTCGAACCGCCTACGACCGACCATCACTATGGTTGTCCCCAACAGACTTGGAACTTCAACGTCCCATTCAATCAACGGTGCATGGCGAGCGAAACGCGCCGGTCGCCAGGTTTGAAAAGGGGGATGAATTCAGGCCAGGACCCGGGCTGTGAAGAATTCGCGAAAAAAAGATCACAGGATCGGACATAGAATTCGTTTGTTTTTTTTCGGCTAAGGGTGAGAGATGCATGGGTGTGGAGAGTCACACAAATCGCCATCAAATCATGGACACAATGCAGTCTGGAATTTAAGATGACCCTGGCCGACGTGGAGGACTCTTAGATCCCCCATGTTTCCTGTTAAACACTTAAAGGCCCCCATACAGTGCAAAACCATTTTACTGGAGTTGGTCGCGCAACGACTTCTGCGACCAGAGCTGTCTATCAACCTGCATTTGCAAAACGCTACCAAATTTGGGAGCCCTCTTTTTCGTAGCTTGGTCTAACTGGCGAGCCTTAGGTTTGAACATGAGTACACATCCGCCGCCGCCCTTTGCATGACACGTTTCGCGTACGCTGCTTCAATGGACGCGCCCACCACTCACCCGCAAGTCTGGCCGAGCTTTTCGGGCGGTGTCATCTCTCGGGCTGGCTTTTTGGGGCCGCCCGGGCAGAGTGGAGCTGAATTCGTCTCCAGGGTTGCTGGTGTTCCAGTGAAGAAAACTGTTTGACTGTTGAGAGTTGAGACTGATGGTTCGGAAACTTGTACATTCTGGTAAGCACCCCTTGGCTCAAATGCTGACGGTACGAGGGACTGGTCAAAGGCAGTCTTTGGGATTTGAGCCAAGAGTTGTGAGGGGTATATTTGTGAATGCTTTTGTTTATTACGGTGCATCAAAAGTTTGGAGAACATCGAGTTGGTAAGCCGTTGTAAGCCCTGAGAACATTGAGCGGGGATGTTTGTTTGACAGAATTGAACACCAAGTCACTAGTGTGGCTTCCAGGGGATGTTTGTTGGCTCAGATATCTAAACATTGGGAGCCAGCTGCTGGCTTCAAACAACAACTTGGTCGACAACACGTGGCAGCCTTTGGAGCGCAAAACGGACCACTCTGGCACCAGTGAAAATACGAAGCGCTTGACAAGGAGCGTGGTGCAATTTGGCTATCGGCAAGACTCGGGTATCAAAGCGGAAACAGAGCACCCTTTGGAACTTGGTTGGTGTATGTGCTATAGAGACTTTGGACTGTCGAAACGTCTTCAGAGAGCACCCGACCAGTGCTAGGTCGCATCCGACGCCCTCAGCGTGTTCGAAGCTGGTCAGGGATCAGATCAGATCCGGTGATCGGTGATGGTGTTTGTCTTTCCTTTGCCAAAACGAACCCATCATATCTCATGAGATATACTGCGGTTCGCGTTTTCAGCGTTTTCAACACGTGTTGCATCATGTTCCGATTTTGCAGGAGACAAAAGTGAATTTGCTGGTGTGATGCCGAAATGGGTGAACCGACCCTGGAAGAGACAATCATTGTATTTACTATACTCAAGACTCAAGACAGTTATCACAGCACAGACAGAGAGGGGTTTTCCAGTGTGTGTGTGTGTCAATCATTGTTTGCGAGTTTAGAAGATTGAGTTTCCAGTAACCAGTCAGCCACAGATACACCTTTTATCCACTGAATTGTTCGGGAGACATTATCTTGTGAAGAGAGGAGGTCCTTAGGCCTTGTGCGTGTGTGTTTTTTTGTTTTTGTTGTTCTTGCTTTTGGTAAGCAATGCATGATCCATGTTTGCACGATTTATTGGAGTT